CAGCTTAGCGGATTTGATGCTAGCAAAACAAGAACAGCAAAAGAAACAAGAAGAGAGATTACAGCAGTTGTTGGAGGAAAATGAAAACAAACAAGAAGAATGAGAAAAGAAACAAGAAGAGACAACAGTAGTGGCAAGAAAACCTGCACCAGTGGCAACTGGAACAAGAAAGGAAACAAGAAGAACGAGAAAAGAAACAGGAAGAATGTCTCCAACAGTTCAGAGAAAGCCAGCATACACAAATGGAAAAGATTAGTAAATTTCAAAGTTAATTAAATATATCAAAGGACAATTTACTGTCCTTTACACAGGGAGGATATATCAACCATGGACCTAATCAGCCCCAGACAACAGAAAGCCCCTTCCAGACCCCACAGCTAAACCCTAGTGCAGACATCTTCAGTCTCGCCAGAAGTCACATTCTAGACATGAGTGTCAGCTATAGGGGTGATCTAGTAAGAAGGAAGTCACAGGAATTCGATGGGAGGACACCATGGGAAGCATATAAAGCACAATTTGAGCTCCTGGCAGAAATGAATGTATGGACAGAGGAGCAAAAAGCAGTGTACCTGGCAACGAGCCTGAAGGGACAACCACCAGAAATACTTGGACAGTTGTCAGCAGATGACAGGCACAACTATAGAGCACTGGTAGCTGCTCTACCACTCAGGTATGGAACTCAGAATCAGTCCGAAGTCTACAGGGCTAGGTTTAGGATGAGAGTCCATGGTAATAGGGAAGAGCCTGCAAGAGCTGGCACAGGATTTGGATAGTATGGCACACAAGGACTACCCAACTGCACCACCGTATGTCCTCAAGCTGTGGACAGTCCACAACTGAAGATACAAGTGAAGCAAGCACACCCTTCTACTATGCAGGATGCAATGACCAGAGCTCTTGAATTCAAGTCCTACGTTAAGTCCAGTACAGAGGTACCAAAGTTGGTACAGTCATCAGGATTAAAGGCAAGAAAAAGGCAGCTGTCAGAGAAGTTTGAAGGACTTTGCTGGCACTGTAACAAAGCTGGGCACAAGAGAGCTCAATGCCGGCAACTTCAACACAGGGAAGATGCCACGGCAGGAGAGGCTGCTACCCAGAAAGATTGTTGCAACTGTGGAGAGCAAGGACATATGAGGAGCCAGTGTAAAAAGAATACTACCAATAAGTCAGCCTTGGGGAAACCAGTAGTGGTTGGTGTTGAGGGATGCCCACCAACCCCCATCGTGAAGGTCCCAAAAGCTAAGTGTAAAATGGGAAGCACACATAGTGTCTATGTGATAGGAAAGTTGGATGGCCAAAAGTGCACCTTTGTCATAGATTCTGCATCTCAGCAAACCCTTGTGAGTATCAAGGTTGTGAGGACCAGTGTGGGCAACTATTGAGCTCATGGGCATAAAGTATACTTGGCTGACATTGAAGACCCATGCATATTAAGTTTGAACAACTTACTACCGAAGAAGTGTGTAGTTAACTTTGATAAAATGTCGTTTGGGAACAACAAAGGCCAAATTTTGGTAGGTGTTAAAAGAGAGGTTGGATTAACCAGGTGCCATCAAGCTGAAGTCAAAGTG